CCTAAAAGAAAGATTTTTGTTTATTATTTTGTATTATTAGGCAAAATACAATTGTTAATATGTATTATCGTCCGTATTGTCGTCTATTGATACCTTAAGGTTTTTATAAAAAATGTCCTTCACGCTTCCATTAAAAATTTCTAGCAAGTTTGGAACCGTGGTAGCTTATTTATTAGTCAGACCATTTTGAAATCCACATTGCAGTTGACATAAGTCGTTCTCCGACTAAAAACAAATTGTTGTTAATAGTTATCAAATATAAATATCTAAAAACACACAAGGACAATACGAAACAAGACAAACAATTATAAGCCAACATTTGGCATCGTGCTTACAAAAGTGTATACGGTTGCCTGCTTGCAGAGTGGAAACTCATCGGCTACCTCTTGAAAAGTTATTGACTGACTTATTAAATATTTTCTATAATCGTATGTCAGTTTCCACAAATCCATACAATCTGGTTCACCGCCCACATAAAACTTAAGTTTACTAACATGATCAAAAATATCGCTAGAGGCTACAAAAATTTCTGTATCTGTATCACTGCAGCTGTATTACTTTTCGAGCCCTCTTATTTTTCCTATGGTGGCTATGAAGCCTATTATAAAGTATACCTCCTGGGTGCTTATCCTTCCTTCTTTTTGCCCCAAGAAATATATTTTTTTTTTCAGATGAAAAAATGCTTATTATTCCTTCGGCGATTCCTTCTATTTCAGCTAACTTTACTTTTTCGTACTTATCCGTTTGGGGATCATAAAAACTTTTTGATATTATATATATAATTTTTCGTATTTTTCAGCAGATAATTTTTGGTCCAAGGTATAGTGCTCAATAATTTGTTTGCCAATTTCAGAAGATTGTAGTATTTGGTGTGTGCTTTAGATTTTAATATATAGTAAAGAAAACAAATAAAAACAACAAATTATAATAAAATAGTAAAGTAAAATATAAAAAAAAAAATATAAAATACCTTGGTAAATTTCGATAAATAGCTTAGAGTTGGCATAGAAAAAGAGTCTGACTGTGTAATTGTCTGCGAGTGATTTAAACCCGGCATGCTAAGACCCTGAAAAAAAAACTCACAAAATAGTTGGCTTTAAGTGACATCGATTGAAATTTCTCACTTTTAAAAGTTTCCAATTAAGTAATTTGGATCTAAATTCGGAGCGCATCGCAGTGTATTCCCGATTAGGAAAAATGACATTTAAGACCTAATTTTCAATGTACGCACTCTAATAATTTAAAAAAATTTAATTCAATAAGTAGTGTTGAATTGTAAATAGTGTAGCAGCAAACGAACCAGTTCAATTTGATAGACAGTCTTCGTCCAAATTAGTTTCTTTAATAAATTTAAGCCGCTTCTGCATAGAAACGTTGTCCTCCATAGTGAACTTAAACAACAACAAAAAACAAAGAAGAACGCTATAGTCGAGTACCTCGACTATCAGATACCCGTTACTCAACTAATGGGACCAAAGGGAAATGGAGGTATGCAATCAGCAAAGCGAGATTGAAATGCGCCACCTACCCGTGATCTCAATATGTGGTTATGTGGGCGGTAGACAGATCGCTTGCAAATACTTCTGCTATTTTGAAATCACTCTGAGCACAAGTGCCATCGCTTCGTTTAAGGGAAAACCTGTGAAGGCGTTGCCTTTTTAGATTACGTGTTCATTACTATATTGCGAATCCATGATCTTGGTTGGGACCAATGGCACTGAGATAATTCACAAACATTCTGATTTGGTCAATCGGAGGACTTTTCTGAGTTCTGACACGGCAGTCTTGTACCTTACCAAGACCAGGGTATGCCTTGTCTCCATCCAAGCGCGGCAATGTGTACGACCTTTTCTGGCCAAGACTGCAATTTCAGATTTCGAAGAAGCCCATGTTAGTGGCGGAATAGGTACACTTCCAGCAGGAAGGGCAGCTTGATGGAGCTTGTCTACCAAAACCTGAGCAATGGAATCAACGTCATCCGTAGTGACAAACGGAGGGTTATCTTCAGTCAAAGCAATGAGCTTGGCACTGAAACTTCTAATATCGGAGCCCCGACGTAAAAGCCTATTTTGGCAATGACGTTATAGGCAGCAACAGAGAAATATATCAGGAGAGGAATATGATCAGAGGATAGGCCCTAACACTCAGAGATGAAAAGGTGGCTGCGCGGGAAACCTCTACACACTGCAAAATCAATGGGAGTCGGAAGATGATCATTGATCATGGATGATGCATGGATGAGCAAGAGACAACTGACATCAGAGTGTCAGAATGGCGGCTACCCACAGAGCCGAAAAGGTGCAGAAGGCTGTCCAGAAGGACAGTAAGCTGTGTTAAACGAAATTCTTCCTAACGACGTGACCAAATTGAGCTGCCATGGCAATGGCTTGCAGTTGAGGCTCAGTTATTGTGGTGCTCAGGTGATAGTCCAGGGACGGTTTGTGAATGACAGCAGCACCACCACTATTTCTATCATCGGGGTGGTTGGCGCAGGTAAAATTTTTTATCTGAGATTAACAAAATGTCAATGTTAGTTTCCTGGAGGAGATGGATCTAAGGATTTGCTAACTAAATTGTTAGCGTTTCAAATTATGGAATTTAATCCGTAGTTACCCTGCAGTACCATTCAGCGCTTATTGAGCACTCAATCACTGCAAAAAGCTCATCACTGAGCGCTCAATGAGCGCACAATTTGTATGGAGCTATGTGCTGAGATTAACATAGGCATGTCCTAGGGTTCATCAGTGCTCAAAAAATAGCACGCATTGAGCGCTTTTTTGAGCACCCTCTTGAGCGCTTTTTTGAGCAGCAGAAAAAGCACACGTTCAGCACATGTTGAGCGCTCGATTGAGCAGCGGAAAAAGCACACATTCAGCACATGTTGAGCGCTCGATTGAGCAGCGGTAAAAGCACACATTCAGCACACGTTAAGCGCTCATTCAAGCAGCGAAAAAGCGCACTTTCAGCGCTTAGCAGCAAATAAAATTTCAGTTGTAATTTTTATTTTTATTTGTTTATTTTAAAATTTGAGCTCAGGGGTTTCCGGTGTTATCGGGGTCGCTGGCACCTCCTTCTCAGCATCTGGTGCCGGCGTTGCCTTTTTTTTGGTACAACTCAAGTTTTTAACGCACCGCATTGCCTTCTGCAGCGCCTTTTCGGGAGGCTCCGAGGGATCCACCAGGGCGATTGCATCTAGTATTAGAAAAAAATTAGTTTTAAAAATAAAACAAGACGAGAATAAAAACGAGTGACCGAAAGTAATCGTTATTTGTAAGATTTATTTATAATAAAAGAAATGTTATCTTTGGCATTCAATGTAAAAATCCCAGAAGTCTTTTAAAAAGTAAACTTACAAACAATAGTTACTTTCAGCATCAATAAAAACTTACTTAATAAGTAAGTTGTGGGACAGAACAAGTTCCTCGGATAATATGCTTAAGATGGAACGATTTAGCCTTCCATTTTTTTTATAGATTTACCTTCAGCCTTGTCTAAAAATATAAGAAAATGCAAAAAATATCGAGAAGAAATTAGCAAACTTTTGTTTTCGGTCACTTGATTTATTTTATTTTGTTGTAAAAAATTATTTATGTATTTAGAGATGTTTGAGTTTTTATTTAAATAGCCATGTTTGTTTACTTACACAAAAATAAAAATTTAATGTTATTAATACAAAAAATCATAAGTTATAAAAACAAACATCTTTTATTTTTGGTCCCAAGGAACTTAGCACTCAATAAGATTTTCAAATTTTTTCACAGATTCATTCATTTGTTTATTTATATGCATCATTTGTTGTTTTTCACGTCCAAAATTAATATTTTTCACAGCTATTCTTTTCCGCCACGTGTTTTTTTGGGAATCTTGTATTTTCCATTTTTTTAATATACATTAACTTGTTTTTACTCTCACTGATTAAATAAATATTGGTCTGCGACAGACTTACCTGGGAATCGTATAGGTATTACTTTTAAACCACTGGTTTATTTTATTTAACTACCTTAATTGCGTGCAATTCTAACTCCTTCACATAAGTAAACCCAAGTGAAAAAGACGAAAAAAGTCGCGTGCCTTCCAGAAAAACAACAAGCAACAACAACGGTTCCGCTAATCCGTTGTTGCTCTGTTTTTTTGGCAAATCCCGTTTGGTCTATGCATCTTGCACATAAAAGCAGGGTATTTATAGACATATCCGACTATGCAAATCGGTTTATAAAAATATATTCTTAAAACTTCACATATTATTAAATAATATTAATAAACCTATAAATTTGTTTAAGAAATACAAATATTTTAAAACAGAAACCTTTTATTTTAATTGGTTGTTTTATCATTTACGAACAAATGTCGCATTATTCAAAAGGCAAGGGTGCACAAAAGTCTATATATTTTAGTTGCTGGGCCTCCTTCCCATCACACGCACTTTTCCGTCTGAGACATGGCGAGAGAGGGAGAGCCCAAAATTACTTTTTGTGCGTTCTCTTTGCGGACCCGACTGAGAGCACGTCGCTTTGCCGCCGTTGCGCTCAGCTCTGCCGGCGTCGCTGGCTTCTCTGCCGACGTCGCAGTCGGCTTCGTGATGATTGGGCGCTTAACTCAATTGTGGAACTGCAGGGTAGTTATTGCGGCGCGTTGACTCTACGCCGTGCTTAGACGTCACGCTCTGTAACATTTGCAGCGTCGACGTCATGACTGACATCATTTGTTCAAAGCGTTCCAGCAGTTTTTCAATTGTCGCCGCTAAGGCATTCAGCAGCCTCTTGCTGCTTTTGTAAATGATTAATAAATTCCAAGAGCCTGTCCTGAGCAGGTTGTAGTAGCATTTTCAAAGTTAGGCTGGCCAAGCGGAAACAACACATTTTTAAACGAATTTAATGCCATCAATGGGTGACTTGAGGAAATAGGAGGGTTCAAAGGATACCAAGCATTCTGACTCGGGAGCGGAGCAACAATAGTTTGCTTTTGAGTCCGTTGTCGTTCTGAAGTGCTGTTGGACTTACGTTTCTCATACTGCTCTAGATAGGCAGGACAACTGCATGAGGAAGCACTATGATTTGACCCACAGTTGATGCATTTAAACTGATCCTCTTTCAGTGCTGGGCATTTATCCTTGTCCTTGCTGTCATGGTCGCCAGCACAACTAGCAGATTTAGGTAAAAAGAAGCAAAAGTTTTTCGAATGGTTAAATGATTGACATTTGAAACACCTTAAAGTGTCATTTCTTTGAATCTGTGCATTTATTGTAACCACTTGATAGTCTATTACTTGAATGTTATAAGCATCTTTGTTGTTTTAAGCTGGTTCTAATAGAACAAAGAATATGTCTCGTTTGGCCTTACCATTTTCACCAGGTGGGTTATATACGTTCCAAGGCTTGTGCCCCAGTTCTTTACGTCTGGCAATGATTTTACGAACCTCAGTTAAATTATATATACTGTCATTATCCACAGAAATTCTATAGGAGGATCGACCAGTCGTCTTAAGGCGAAAGCCAGTAGTCACAGGTGATAATAATGCAATCAGTAGCCTAAAATCCGTGACACGTAGAGTTCGTTGTTTCTTCATTATCAGACAAAACAGCAAAATTATTATTCGTTTTTAAGTATGAGGGCTTTTCTCTATTAGAAAGGGGGGAAAGTAAGTTCACATATACGACAGAAGCCTGAGTATGTTTTTGGTCCTGGTCTGACTTTAGAAGTACAGACTTACGAGTACTGTCATTGGATTGGTGAAGATTCCTTTTTATACCCGTTACTCGTAGAAGGAAGCGTTTCCGACCCCATAATGTATATATATTCTTGATCAGGATCACTAGCCGAGTTTGTTTCAGCAGGGTGCCACGCCCACTCGAACGCCGACAAACCGCACAAGACTGTGGCTCCTACAGTTTTGATGATAGAACAAAATGTAACACGGAATCTTTGAAATAAACACAACCGGTAGCTTGACATCCATCATAAAAGATCAACAAGGAACCCTAATAAATCGAGTTTTTTAACCGGAAGATTTACAGAGTCAAATGCTTTACTAAAGTCGGTGTTAATAACGCCTGTTTTAAAATTTTGTAAGTCTCCTTATCACGAATAAAGTAAGCTTCAAAGGGACACGGAGATATAATTGACCTACAGAGGTGCTGCAAATGGGGAGTAATAGTGTTTTCGAAAAGCTTTGGGTTCGCTGACAATTTAGAGATACCTCTTTAATTATTTGCATTCACTTTGCTAACCCTCTTGAGGAGAGGAATTACAAGCGATTCCTTCCGCATTAAGGGAAATAAAAAGTAGACAGCTATCGTTTAGGGTAAGACAGAATATTAAATAAGACTTGGATACAGTGTAAGAATAAGGCTGTGAAAAATGATGTAATGTAGAATATGTCGTTTGAAAAATTTGGCAAATATATCGGCTATTGCCTGATAAGTGGTTGCAGTAATATTTTAAAAGATAACGAGGAAAGATAATGTATAGATTTACGCTTAGTGCTAACAATATTATATAACTTTTTCGAATTTTTAGACATTTGGAGTTTACAACGATTTAAATAGTTTTTGTAACACAGAGAGTTTTGCCCGGTAAAACTAGACCGAGCAGTTAAGAATATAGAATAAATACATTGATAGCCGGTATCTTTGTATTTCCTACAAAGTCTGGACTTCTTATTTCTTAGAGTGTCAGCTCTTTACTAAACCAATGTAACTTGTTGGGACTGACGGATAGTATAACGGAACACAAGAATCGAAACCGAACTAAACATAATTTGCAGAATTTAGTTTTATGAGAATGGTCCTAAAATTAGAAATCTAAAAATGATCAACGTTTTTGATTGTGCAATCTTTATGCGAATCATAGTATATGCTGAACAACATTTTGTGTGACAACTTTTAAATTGCCAATAAATTAAGCTAATTAAATTGAAATTGCTTTTTTCCTTTTCAAAAAACCCTTCAGTCAATTAGACCAATATACAGTTTAATAGGCCACCACCTCGAAATTGTTACTTTGTTCAAGAAATGAATAACTCTTATAACAGCAAATTACACACTCGTTTCTATTTTATGGAGGTCTTACTAATGTTTAGTTTGTTTTCTATGGCCAGCTTACCATTTTATGGTAGTTTTACTGTTTTATAGTAAATTTGCTATTTTTACAGTATTTTACAGTAGTTTTACTATTAGTTAGTAGTTTTACTATATTTGTAAAGTTTTTCTGTTTTTGCTTGTTATAGTTTGCGATTGTATGCGATTCCCAATTTACTAAACATCATTTGTAGAATTTGGTTTTATGAGATTAGTTCTAAATTTGACCGTTTAAAAATGAACAATATTTTTATACCTGTTACTCGTAGAGTAAAAGGGTATACTAGATTCGTTGGAAAGTATGTAACAGGCAGAAGGAAGCGTTTCCGACCCCATAATGTATATATATTCTTGATCAGGATCACTAGCCGAGTCGATCTAGCCATGTCCGTCTGTCCGTATGAGCGCTGAGATCTCGGAAACTATACAAGCTACAATACTGGGATTAGGCAGATTCCTGAGATTCCTGCGCAGCTCAAGTTTGTTTCAGCAGAGTGCCACGCCCACTCTAACGCCCACAAACCGCCCAAGCCTGTGGCGCCCACAATTTTCATGCTAGATAAAATATTATTTAACTGAAATGTATTGGTCTCGTCAATACCAATCGATTGATCCAAAAAAAAATTTGCCACGCCCACTCTAATGCCCATAACGCTAAAATCTGTCTACCGCCGGTAGGTGGCGCATTTCAATCTCGCTTTGCTGCTTGCATATCTCCATTTGCCTTTGGTCCCATTAGCTGAGTATCGGGTATCTGATAGTCGAGGTACTCGACTATAGCGTTCTTCCTTGTTTTTCTTTTACTATTTACTATTTCACTATTTTTACATTAGTTGTATTATTTGTATAGTAGTCTTACTACTTTATTGTAATTAAGTATTTAATAGTGAATTCTACCAATCAAATTTGTAAAAGATTTCCAAGTTACTATTCATCATGTGTAGAATTTGGAGGAGAATAGTTAAACGAACAATATTTTTAATTATGTGCAATCTTTATGAGATTCACAAGATAAAATGAACACCCCTGCGGTCAATTTTACCAATATAACGGTTAAATGGTCTACACCCATGGAATAGTTACCTTGTCCAACAAATGAATTTCTCCCATAACAGCAAAGTACCAGTCTCGATAATGCTTTCGTGGAGTGCAGACAGGTTTTTGCATCGCTGCGATATTCTTTGTGAAGACTCCATGGACAAGTCCATCTTTGTGGCAGATCAATTTGATTTTGTGACAGCTAAAGCTGCAGCGACAGTGCTCAAACGCTTCGTTAGATCTGATTTATCGCGAAAACAAGTAAAATAAAAATCAAAAGGAAACAGTTGCACTTTGTTGATCCTGTAAATTACCTCTACTTCAAACTCAAATTCAATTATAAACTTAGTAAAAATAAAATAAAAAATAGAAATCCCCCGCTCTTATTTTTTGTTGGTTCATGCGATAGAGAGATATTGAAAGAATATTCATGCCAAATTTTAAGTAAATCGGCTGATTAGAACTTGAAATATTATGGCTACCGAATCAGAAAAGGTAGTTTGGAGAAAAACGCGTTTAAAGTTTTACGTTAAATTTCAGGCAGTGTAACTGATAGAATAGCACGTATAACTTACATTCTCTTAATCAGCCATCCCAGCTTCATACATTGGGCCTTCTTCTACTTCATATCGATTAATTTTAGCAGATCTCTCATGATAACGAGCAGTTTTTCCTTCTTTTGAAGCATCTGAAGTTCGGACCTCAGACCGTTGGATCCTTACAGCGTTGCGCCTGACAGCAAACCCATGAGATTCTAGGCCGATTTTAATTCCCATAAGTTTCATAATACTTAGAATGGGATAAGAACCTTCATTAAAAATACAGACTGCTAAATAATTTGCAATTTAAATTGTCTGGAATCCAGCATGAATATGTTTGGGTGCAAACGTCCATATCAAAGAATTGAGCGACTCGTTGTTATTTTGAGTTTCACAACCCAAACAGCGATCTAATAAAGAACGATCCGACAAGCTTTCATAAATAGGCTTCAAAACTTCTAAAACCTTATCAGTTAGAGGTTGATCCTCGTGGGAAAAGTCATCCAGAGTATCTTCAGCCGCTGCTTTCTGCCACTTGCACCAACTGTCTGGTCCAGGTGGACAATTCATGTGCGCGGGATTCTTATCAGTTGAACTTTTATGGAAATAAGTTGCCCATATCTCGCGTTTCATATCTTCAGCAGAATCAGGATGACGACGAATAGCTAATCCATAATATAAAGACAACTCGTTGATTTTTTTATCAGTTAATTGACCAAAATGACGTGCCTTGAATACTACCAATTCTTATGTGTGAAACACCAAACGGCTCAGTGTGTTGTGGTCAACGTCAAAACTGACCAAGGGAAAGTAGTCATTGCGTCTATATATTGTCCCCAAAATTCTCAGCTCACAGCTAACCACTACGAAGAGCTTCTAAGTGATCTTCGACCAAATTTTATAATTGCAGGGGACTGGAGTGCGCATCATCGCACTATAGGCTGGCTGAACACTTTTTGTGGCCAAAACTAAAAACTTCAAGCAAAACCAAATATTTGAGTTCGGTTCTTATATTTGGGCTTATAATTAGCAAATTAACAGAAAAAGGCGTGGCAACGCCCCTTTTTGGAGAAAATTCTTGTTGTCATAAAAAATAATATAAAACAAGGAAGAACGCTATAGTCGAGTACCTCGACTATCAGATACCCGTTACTCAGCTAAATGGAGATATGCAAGCAGCAAAGCGAGAGTAAAATGCGCCACCTACCGGCGGTATACAGATTTAAGCGTTATGGGCGTTAGAGTGGGCGTGGCAAATTTTTTTGGACCAATCGATAGGTATTTTTGAGACCAATACATTTCAGTTAAAATTTTTTTTCTAGCATAAAAATTTTGGGCGTCACAGGTTTTCGCGGTTTGTGGGCGTTAAAGTGGGCGTGGAAAATTTTTTTTGGGGTCAATCGTTAGGTATTGATGAGAACATTACATTTCAGTTAAAATTTTTATTCTAGCATCAAAACTGTAGGAGCCACAGTCTTGGGCGGTTTGTGGGCGTTAGAGTGGGCGTGGCACTCTACTGAAACAAACTTGCGCTGCGCAGGAATCTCAGGAATCTGCGTGCCTAATCCCAGTATTGTAATTCTCATAGTTTCCGAGATCTCAGCGTTCATACGGACAGACGGACAGACGGACATCGATCGACTCGGATAGTGATCCTGATCAAGAATATATATACTTTATGGGGTCGGAAACGCTTCCTTCTGCCTGTTACATACTTTCCGACGAATCTAGTATACCCTTTTACTCTACGAGTAACGGGTATAACAAGGAAGAACGCTATAGTCGAGTACCTCGACTATCAGATACCCGTTACTCAGCTAAAGGGACCAAAGGGAAATGGAGATATGCAAGCAGCAATGCGAGATTGAAGTACGCCACCTACCGGCGGTAGACAGTTTTAAGCGTTATGGGCGTTAGAGTGGGCGTGGCAAACTTTTTGTGACGCCCTGTCGAAAACCTGTGACGCCCACAATTTTTATGCTAGATAAAAAATGTTAACTGAAATGTATTGGTCTCGTCAATACCTATCGTTTGGTCCAAAAAAAATTTGGCCACGCCCACTCTAACGCCCATAACGCTTAAATCTGTATACCGCCGGTAGGTGGCGCATTTTAATCTCGCTTTGCTCTTTGCATATCTCTATTTAGCTGAGTAACGGGTATCTGATAGTCGAGGTACTCGACTATACCAAAGTTTCAGGAAGCTATGAACGGTTTAGTTACCCTCAATATGAACACTGAACACTCCTGATGACATTGACGATGCTACTGAGATGTTTGTGCGAAATATTCACATCGCTGTTGAATCATCAACCTGCGGCCAAGGTCCAAACAGACCATCTGAAATAGTATGGAAACGCGGGTTCTGGACAATTATCATATTAATTCCAAAAAATATTGTGATGTATATTGGTTAACCATGTTTCAGTTTTTCAAGATTTTGCATTTAGCAAAGTAAAATCAAGAATTATGTGCAAAGAGCGCAACGATACACTCAGCCACTATGTGCCGCATCTACCGCGGAAAGATTGCAGACTGTTAGTGGGAGTCCTCACAGGCCACTGTCTGGCCGCATCACACGCAACCACACTCGGAATACTCAATAGCCGCACCTGCAGAAAATGCTATGAACCGAGGGCTATCGAAACCCTGGAACATCTAATCTGCAATTGCCCGGCTCTCTCTCGAGCAAGAAGAAGTTACCTCGGTGCCCCAGTAGTGGCTTCACTAGGAGACGCCTCCAGCAGGGAACCAGGCGAACTTCTTGCCTTCGCCAAAAACATCTCGATTGTTGTGGACATAAAAACCTCTTAACTCATCTCAAGGTTCATACACATGAACCGGACAACTGAGGGCCACATTAACCTTAGCGTGCCCCTTGAGGGCCGTTCGTATATGACTATATGTTAGACATAAATAACAAGCAGGGAACTTAGCTTCGGCAAGCCGAAGTTTGTATACCCCTGCAGTTATAATTAGTAAATTTATTTCAGAATTCTCAAAAATACAAACAATGATATTCCCAATAGTATAATATAATATGTCAAAAAACACCGAAGCCATAGTTTTTTTCATATTATTTTCCCACCAATTTTGCGATCGTTCCTATGGCAGCTATAAATATAGTCGTCCGATTTTGATAAAATTAAGTTCGAAACTCAAAACTATTTAAAAATGTTATTTCCATGCGTAGGAGTCTTGTTTCTACAGGTCTTTTTCTTTTTCTTGAATGCCTATTCCTATTCCACCATGAGTGCATGCCAGAAATATGCAGAGCCTATGGTTGAATAGAGCTCGTTTGGAACACAGATATTAAAAGACGAGGTGTCCATAGGTAAAATTAAATCTTTCCACGGTAATGTTTTTGGCCTCTGTTTTATGTTGTATATAGTCCAATACCTCGAAGGCCATCTGCTCGGCGAAAACTATCTCTAGCCGCGGCGAAGGTACTAATTACACCCTTTAATACACCTTTAGTTTGGCTCATAAAAGATCGCGTCTCGTGCGCAACTTCTAGGCAAGGATCACAACAATACAATAAGTTATGACCCTTAACCAGGTCATCACTAGTTCGACCGGTATACCCGGCACCCTTGGTTGCACAAACTATGGACACTTTCAAGACGACCAGTCAAAACTGGGCAGCTTCAATGTGTCCATAGGGCAAAAACAACATCACAAAATGGCACTGCAGCTTCTACGGAAAAGGCACAAAGCAATATAGATCACAAAACAAAAAAACAGAACATATGTAAATTCAATTTAAGGACCGAATATTAAAAGTTTTGATCTAAGCCGTCCTAGGAAAACACGAAAAGATATAAAAATTCGGAGCGCAGAAAAAAACACGAGCGTTCACTTAGAAAGTCAAGCTATTATACGTTTTTATTTTTATGTTTTATTTATATGTTTATCTTATCTTATATTAAGTTTAATATTAATAGTTTGGTAAAATGTTTACTTAAATAAAATTAAAAATAATAAATAATAAATACTTTTTACACACTTAAAATAATTTGTATTTATATTTTGCAAAGTCTCGATCATAATATAACATCTCCAATTCAACTGATTTATAGAAAACCTGTTTTTCAATATATTCTTTTTGAAATTTAAATCTTATGATTCTCCATCGTTCACATAATTATTTTGTATCATCTCACCCAAGCAAAATGAATTAGATTCTAATCATTTAACATATTCTAAAATATCTTTTCGATTAATCTCTGATGTTATATTGATCTCGTACCGTGGTCTTCATTGCTTAACTCTAAAATTGAGTTTCGTTAACATTGCGTTTTCTTTTGCTGTCTTTATTTTTTTTTTTTTTTTTTTTTTTGTATTTGTAGTTTTTTTTTGTGTGCTTTTGATCTAAATATTGTTCTATTACCATAATAATACGTTTTTATAATGTTCAATTGTAGATTTCGTAAATTCACTCCCTTTGCTTTAGTATGTGAAGGTTCAACTTGATCTATTCTATAAAAATAAACCTTTCAGCAAAGACCTTCAAATTCTGTCGTGAGTTTACCGTTGAGCTCATCTTTAAAAAACCTTTAACTTTTTTTGTTAACTCTTTTAAAGTTATAAGGATTAATTCTTTCATCTGAATAGTCCGATGTATCAAATTTGGCTTCAAGATCATTACGAATGTCTTTATAAAAATCCTCAGTTTTTATTGTATAGATAAATTAATCAGTATTATTTAAGAGTAACTTTTCCTGAAACTTTGACTTCATATATTGATAGTGAAAATCATACATTTTTCATTTCGATAAGTCTAGTACTGGAAATCCCAAATACATTGGCTTATTAAATAGAACGGACAATTTTTTCATTTGAATTGCATAGAAATTATCATTAATTTTAATTGCACTATGAAAATTGGATTTTGAAGTTAAAGTTTTGGCACAATGTGCTTTTCGTCCAGTCTTCCTGCTATCCAGAGCTTCTAAGAAGCTTAATATCGACCCTGCGCTCGGGATCTTCCATTGTTTTTCCGTAAACAGAATTATTCATTAATTTAAAAACCAAGGTTTTTGTAAGAACTGAACACCTCTATGTATCTTTTTCAATACAAACCCGTTCAGTATACATTGTTGAAAATTCCGATAATGTATTTGATAATTTTTCTTTAAATAACACAAGGTTACAAAAAAAAAATAGACGAAATAGGCCATGATGGCGACCGGAAAACGGTAAGTAACATCTCCCTGATTAAGAAAAGGGCACTTAAAATTTTTTGTATAGCTCTAATTTTTTTGTAAGTATAAAAAACGTTTTTGGAACTTTTTTATTTTCTAACTTGAATTCTGAGACGCCGAATTCGGTCATCAAAGACTCAGGTAATAGAATGCCCTTTAACTTTCTTATACACAACATTGAGGACCATTCATTAGTTTAGAAGCTACACTTCGTCAAAGTTAAAAAATTTGGAAATAGAAGCAAAAACGCTGTTATAATATATAGTTTAATATTTTTTTCTTGAAGGCTGAACTTTAACGAAGAATATGAGCCGTTGATCACGAGCCATTGGTTACAGCTCGTCGGCAAATCGATTTTTTACAGATTCTTAAACGTATACACCCCAGTTCAGTATTCGGGAGCAGCGGCCGTTAAACATTATTTTAAATTTTCAGTGTTGGGGAACGTCAGAACTTGGTGCAATTAGTTATGCATAACGTCAGTTTCCTTGCTATTAGAGGTGGGCAAGCTAAATAGTATGCGATTGCATTTACTAGGAAATCATTTTCATATATTTTTTTTTTAAGTTTGCGCTTACGGCTCCGCTATTTACAGTACGAGTAGAATACATTTTTTGTTTTGGGAAAGATTTAAGCGTAACTGTTTTGGATGTACTAGTAGTGAAAGAAAAAGTTTTTTATACATAGACTACGATTGTTATAATTATGCAATATTAAACTAAACCTTCAAAACAGTTTTGGCTTCTTATTTGCTTCTTGTATGAGCTAATTTTCGTTTCCCAAATAAGAAACCAAATGGGTGACTATCCCAACATAGCGGCATCCCAAAAGCCATGATATCGGCGCTCAATTTCCTTCATTTGCTGATGGATCCGCTCCCCATGCTCATCACTTACAGCTCCCAAATTCTCCGGAAAAAAGTCCAAGTGAGAGTCGAGAAAATGAATTTTTAGCGACATATGCACTCCTGTCAAAAACAAACAAAGACATAATAAACATTACTTTTAAGAGCTTATGATAGCTTACCCATAGCCATATAGTTCTTAAGCATGTCCCTTAAAATACTTTTGTAATTTCCCGCTTTGTTATTTCCAAGAAGGTTTCTACCACCAGCCTAAAGGATTTCCACGCTGCCGCTTCTTTAAAAGATAACAGCGTTGTGAATTTATTGTCCTTTAATAGTTTCTTAATTTCAGGACCTGCAAGAAAGGCCTCTTTAATTTTAGCGTAGGACAGTGCTGGGAAAAGGCTAATTAAATATGTAAATGCGGTGCTTTCTTTGTTAAGGGCTTTGACAAAGTTTTTGTCCCAAAGACAAGGGAATCAACAGTTTTTGGTATAACCTCCTTGCAACCCGCAGACCATTCCAACAACCTTTAGGTCCGCACATATCTTCCATTGAAACTTATCATATTTTATTAATTTCAGCAGCTCTACTCCTTTGTGTTTACCGCATGGGCGATCGGTAGAGATGGTTTTCATTTCCTTTATGCTACAGGACAACCTTTCAACTCTCCTTGCTGCCGTCAATGAACAACCTCCACTCCATTGGTATGTGGTCTACATTAAGCTCGTTAAACAAAGCGCCTATATTATTATAAAAACAAATACTGTCCTGTTTTGTAAAGTACTTCGAAAATTTTTCGTGGCGACTTCTGTAAAGTGACATTCGGATTTAAAAAGCCATGCTGCTTCATTCGAGAGGACAGAAATTCCGACTTTTCTTTGGTTAGCTCAAGATCTCTAATTAGATCATTCAGTTTCTTTTGTGAGAGCTTTTCCAAATTTGGCAACGTTTCGGAATCATTTGAATCGCATGTTTCTGAACTTTTTATCCATATCAACACAGGTGAAGTTTTCAGGAATCGTAAAAGCTTTAGGAAAGGTCACTGAAAAGACTTTTACGTGATTCCAGATTGCCGAACGTCCCACACCAGATAATTTGCTTAGACAGAAGTAGCAATCATCTGTGTGATTCAGGGGCTGTCTCCAAGTCATTGGCGTTGTGAAGCAAAAATTAGATCTATAAGAAAATTGTACTTTATTGACGCCCGAATGTGCAAAATTTACGCGACACGAAACACACAACACATATCCAATTGGTATCGAATTTCGAGATATTCGGAAAAGCATTCTTTGTAGAATTGTCTCTCCTTATTATAAAAAGCTCGAGTTACTGAACTTTTCTAAACGTATTCACCGCATACAAAACAAAATTCATTAGAATCATTTAAGCAAATTAAACGTTTACCTTTATGCTCCATGACAAGCTTTTCGCCAATTATGAAAATGATTTCCTCGTAACTGCAATCGAAAACTTTTTAGCGTACACACCAATAATAGCAAGGAAACTGACGTTCTGACGTTCCCCAACACTATAAATTTAAAATAATGTTTAACGGCCGCTGCTCCCGAATACTGAACTTGTTATCTGTAAAAAATCGATTTACCGACGAATTGTCGTGATCAATGGCTCATATTCTTCGTTAAGGTTCAGCCCTCAAGAAAAAAACATAAAACTAATTTCTGTTTTTAGGCGTGTATTTTTACCTGTATTACCTGTAAAATGAGTCTTTGATGTCCGAGCTCGGTTTATCAAAACTCTAGTTAGAAAAAAAAGGTGCCAAAAACGTTTTTTACACCTTAAAAAAAGTTGTATTATACAAAAATTTTAAGTGCCTTTTTCTTAATCAGGAAGATGTGCCTTACTGGTAAACCTAGGTCGCCTTCATGGCTTATTTCGTCGATTTTTTTTTGTAAGCTGGTGTAATCTTTTAGAGTGGAACATGAGAAATGTGACCAAACTTTAAGAGCGTGATCATACTCTTCAAGAGTGCATTCCATTTCCGTTAAATTACTATAGAATGTTTCCCTTGGTGCGATGGAAGTTTCCTCTAGTCTACTAGCGGAATCTAAATATTCATAGGGAAATAAACCCTTCTTACGGATTAGTCGAAATTCTATATCATTACTGAAAACTGACTTTACAGTATTCAATTGATCATCAACTAAATTAGAAGCTAGGGTATCTAAACTTGATGGCGTAAATCTATATGTATCGAGAAACGAATTTCAAAACTATTTCCACTAAAAAATTTCATATTAAACCGGGAATCTTTCCCAACTCTTGAACTCTTGTTCATTTATTCTTGTGTAAGTACTTATCACTCAATTTAGTTAAATTTTTCATCAATGAATTTACAAAACTTATTCCTGAATTTTTTTCCTGTTTCCAAAACAAATTTATCTAGTCTGGAATCAAAAGCACACTTTATACAGAGGTGGTCAAAATTATTTTCACAAAACAAAAGATAAATATACTCATAATTTGACCTTACTTCTTGTTGAGTTTGGCATCAATGGAAAGGTAATTTAAATGCCGTTTGAATGATGCAATACTTTTCTTAACCCATTCAGTACTTATTAAAAAGGACAAACTTGTGTAAACATCTACTTTTTAAACTTTTTTCCTCGACTTGAAAACTTCAATATTTAATGCAAAAAGTTTCTTTAAACAAAAATAATAAAAACAGCAAAAAGAATTTTTCAAAAATATTATTCTTCTTTTTTCATACAAATTGTTTCCGACATTGTCACCTTCAAAAATCATAAAAAATATAAGACCAGATGTCATAAATCTCAGTTTCGATTTAGGAGAAACAGTTTATCGCGATCTGCTTCAGATTCTGCTGTTTCAAAGCTAACGCAGTTCCACAACTTCACTGTTTCCGTAACTGAGCATGAAACTTTAAATTTCTCAAAAGGAGTCATCTACTCTAATGAACTTCGCAACATAGATGTGGGATATGGATACATTGAGGGATTTACAGCAACCTATTTAATTTCATATGGGGACACACTGTTCAGAGTTTCGCAACCTCAAGCATTCTTCAGCAGCCAAAAACGCAAAAGAGTTCCTATCCCTTTTCATCAAAGTGATCTATATCCATCACCCTCTTTCATTAAAAATTACGCCTTATAAATGTAAGCAAGTCAGTTGATGTGGATATTTTGTCAGAGGAAGTCGCGTCATTCATAGAGTGCGAAAGTCGTGGAGTTTAAATAAAATACCTTTGTTTCTTTAATTTACTTAACTATACCCTACATATATTATATTATTATATATTCTTCCCAATTTAAATCTTCTTTTATGCCGATTTTCTAAATACACGGGCGAAAAGTCGGACTTTTAGGGAGATCAAAGGAATGCATTCTATGAGTGAAAGAATGTGATTTTTTCGACACGACTCATATTGACCCGAATATAAAAATGGTTATTCATTTTATTTATTTTGAACGCTGTGCAACACAAAATAAGAACCTAACCAAAACCACACATCGCAAAGAAGCGTCGCCAAGCCGATGGCTGATGGGTAGAAGATCTAAGCTCCCAACGTCATCGAAGCTCCTGGTATATAATACCATATGGGACCCAATTATGAGGCACAGCCAGCAAATCCAACGTGAGCATCATCCAGGCGTTCGAAAATAAAACGCTTCGCGTCGCCTCCAATGCCCATGCTCCATGATGTACTCAACTTCCCATGGGTGAAGGAAGAAATCCATGCATGACCACCCACACACTCTGGCGATAAACCTGCTGGACAATATCGAGAGAGGACCAGCAGGCTGCGAAGGACCCACCCCCTGGACCGGCACTGAACCTAGGCGGACCAGCGATCCACTCTTCTAGCCTGCCATAGATGAAAAACCCAAATCCCACGTTTTATATTATCACATTTACTGGTTGCCCACGTTAGAATAGTATTAAACAAAAAAATTGCACGTTAGAAAAATAAAAAAAACAAAAAAAACTTGACACATAGAAACGTAACAACACCGTTCAACGTTTTGAAGGTCATATTCGAATCTTTCCCCTTCTAATTTAACCTGACGCCAAGAGAAGTCAAAAAATAAATATTAAAGTGACGCCCAAGTGACGTCACATGTTTAACATATAATTTTTCACGAACTTTTACTGGTTTCTTCTCTTTTTGGTATATATATTGCCGTATCTTACTCTTTTTAACATGGGACTGGTAGATCATTAGGAATTTATACATTTATCTGGCGACTTGTTTGTTATACGAAAAGTACAAAAGTCGCAGCGAATAATCGTGACATTCATCACATTTTTCCGGGCCTTAAGTCGAGAACGGACCTTGCACTTCCTTTTAGCTGAAACGAAACGCTGCTGACAACCAGCAGGAAAAGTCATCTGCAATTTGTGTGGCACTTTTGACTGCACTTCCCTTTTATTTTGAATGCTTTTAGGGGTTTTTCCAGCATGTTTGGACTGCTGGCAACAATGTTGAATGCGAAATTTGTTTCTTTTTTCGTGTTTCAGTATTTATGGTTCCAGCAACTACAATGTGGCAGCAGCTGAAGTTGTGCGACAAACGGTTTCGTGTTTATTTTGTGTTCCGCTGCACCACATGACGTATGAGTAATTTATGTCCGAGCCGCCATACGCGCCAGATTACGTATACGTCGTGTTGTGAGACTGTTGTTAATGTGCATTTAATTGCTTAAAGATATATAATTGATTGCCCTTAGCAATAGGACGGGAATTAATTAACCCTTGTAACTTGGAGTAATGTTTGAACTGGGCTATCTGACACCTTTTGTGGGAATATCACTGTGGCATCACATTGATAACACGGCAGTACACGTTGTGACGAATCGCACAGTGAGTGTGCTTGAGACTTCTAAATAAAGCCACAAAATTAAAAATCTGATCCGATAGAACAGTCAAAATGAAATCGAAGTAATAAACACTATTACTTAGTGTATGCTTTGAGTTTCGTGAACTTGTGAAAGCGTGAAATACAATAACCCATGTTTAGGCGACACATATATTTGGTAAGTAAATTAAAAGTACATTTTATTTATCAATTTCGTTTTAGCAGCGAGCGAGACCGGGTTTGTTTTGCCATTGCTCAGTGGATTACACATCAGATCCGAATT